GGGGGGCGAGCGCCGGCCTTTCCGGGAGGCGTGCTAGCCGCGGCCATTGCGTACGACATTTCGAATGGCCGGGGCGGGGTGGCCGGCGATCGCGGGCTTAGTGCACCCGCGCTGGGGGGGTTGTCAGCAGCCCCTCGGGCCTCGTGCGCCCGCCGCCGCCAGCCGGAGCCCGCGCGGGCACGGTCGCAGGATGGTGCTTCTGCTTCGCAGCGTATCGCGGAGAAGACGGGCGCGATGGAGCCATCGCCGAGCTTATCCCGCCCGCTGGTGGGACTCCCCGGTCACGCGTCCGTCTCGTCGACAGTGGGCGGTGCCCGGGGCGGGAAAGACTTGGCCCTCGCCCGAGGCGGTGCACGGCGGAGGATATAGCACAGAGCACACCCAGACCCCGGCGCGCGGGCCCGCGCGCGCAGACGGCATTTGTTGCCTGTCGTGGAAATGCGCGGTGGGTGCGCTGGGAGACCGCGCGACCGCCGACGCCCTCGGCTCGCAGACACGTAAGATCCCCGTGCCTGATGCAGGCTAGAAGGAGAGATCCCCTACCGCGCCATCGTGGACGCCTTCGAGCCGCCGACACGTGAACGCACAGAGTGCGCACGCGCACGGCGGGGTACGGGCCCAGGGTGGCCCTATCGCACGCCCTCCGTCGAGGCACGGCGAGGTCCACGCGGACCCGCGGGGCAGCGTCGGGAATGCGGCCGTGCGTCGCCCAGTGGCTCGGCGTCGCCGCACCGCGAAAGCGGCACAAGCGCGCAATTCAGTGGAGGCCGCATGCCTGCGCTGGGAGCTCCGGCCTGTTGACAGCGCAATAGAATGTCGGGCCCGGTGTCGGTCGCGGACACCGCCAAGCTGTGTGAGACTCGCCGCGCTGGAGCGTGGCTTTAGACAGACAGCAGCCCCTGCCAAGGAGACAGCCAGGGCGCGCGCACCGTGTGCTGCTGGCGGAGGGCTGCTCGCACGAACAGGTCGCATGCATTTACGTGCAATTTTGTAGGCTAATGGCTCAGACGGAAGATCGACATTAAGCTTGCAGAGATGCTACAATGGCTATTCTCCCTTCAAAAAGTCTGGCATTAAATAAAAATTCGGAATCATGTCCACCACTGGCCTGAAGACGAGTGAACGGCAGTAAAATGTTGCGTCGGGAGGCGCCAACACTTGGGAGGATCGACTTGCATGGATCGGCTCGCAGAGGCGATCGGCGATCACCCATCTGATCAGTAAATGGCATGGCTCGATCCTGCGGACAAAACACTTGCGTGGAGATTCAAACATTCACCTTGGGGACACACAATTATCTCACATCGAAAAGAAAACTAGCGGAAGCGTCCTGGTGCAATTCAGTATTCGACCTCCTCCTGCGCCGCACTCATCTGCCCAAACAGCCCGTGCTGCTCGCCGAGCGCGTAGGTGAGCGTCATCCGCTGGAAGACGGACGGGCCCTCGCCAGAGTCCAGCTCAAGCTGGCGGGCATGTGGGTTCAAGAAAATGCGGTGCGATCGCGGGCAGAGCCGACTCACCATCGAGATGACGTCGTCGAGCAGGTGAGCCTGCCCGACCGACATGCCCAAAAGGCCCTGGAACTCCACATTCACAATGTGCACATGGAAGTGATCTCCACACCCGGTTATATTCACGTAGCACGTGAGGATATGCGCGGGCACTCACAATACGAAGGCTGGTAGTGCACGTACATCCGCAGGGACCCGGCGCCGAGGCCCCATCTCTCCTTCACGACCCTCGTCGCTTCTCGTCGGATACTCCGCAGCATATCAACGTGGTCTTTGCGCAGATCTCGAAGACTACGGATTGCCGGTGAGGACGAGATGGCGACGAGGTAGAGCGAGGAGAGCGTCTTGACGTCCCATTTCATGTCGGGGAGGAGGACGTAGCCGTGCTCTGCGGAGGAGTCCCGGTGGAGCACGTTGTCGGCCTCTGAGCGTCCTTCGAGGATGTCCACGACCCTGTGCGCAGCATGATCGTGGAAAAATGCATGGTAACGGACACGGCTCACCACTGCGTGCGTGATTTCGGGAACGCAGCGATATAAGGCTGCACGATACGCCCATATAGAGCGGGGGTCTCGCGGACCATCAGAAATTTTTGTGCGGAATACTGGACGACGTGAGTCCACGTCGTGGGCGAGGGGACCTGCACTTGCCTTGCGGATGTGGACTTCTGTGGCAGGACATATGATATTCAGCTTCACGTCTGGCCTGTCGCGCGATTTTTCCAGCCAGCCGTGGAGCCAGGTGTACTGGTCGTCATGTCAGTGACGATGGCGGTAAGAGGAGTACCAGATACGGTGAGCGCACAATATCGTTGCGGCCAATTAATTCTGTATCATTGACCAACTTTGAGAGCAGCGCCTCTGGCTGCTTGGACGGCAAGGCTGACGTCTCCAGGCGAACGATGGCCGGTGATCGCAGCTCGGATGCTGTATCGGCTGCAGGAAATGTGCCTAGCAGAGTGAGCGAGCGGGCGATAGGATCTGGGATTGCGAGCCATCCGTCAGACGAATTATGCAGGCCGTCAGCGTCGGACACTGTGCGCACCCTCATTGAGCAGTCGCTCAAACTGAAAGGTCTGCAGGGAAGCGAGATCAGTCGGCTGGAAAGACATGCTCGATGGTGTATTGGCGGATGAACAGTCCCAAGTATGCGACCACACGATTACTGATCGCAGTGCCGCCGTATCAGAGTTCAGAGCGAGCTGGCACGTGCCGCGTGCACCCATCGTCCTGCGATGCGCCCTTCGTCTCCTGCCGCTATCTGTTCGTCAAGCTCGTCTTCCCTGCATGCAGATTGGGATCCCTGCCTCGCCAGCTCCAGATGCTCAACTCTCGCCGCGCCGTGGTCGCTTCTAGTAAACCCGCTGCTGGCCGACGGTGCGTCCATGCGTCACGCGACGCTGGCGTGATCTGTCTGCGCCATTGTCGGGGAAGAGAGGCTCCTTTCAAGCTTCTAGAGCTTGATCTGAATCACACACGCAATGCCGTGTTGTACGCAACGCGCCGAGAGGCGAGCCTGGGAGGCAATGCTGGCGGCTGGGGGTGCTGGCCGTGGTTCTGGGATGGGTGTGGCCGGCAAAGCGGTGCCTCGCGGTGAGTGCGCACATTGCCTGGATGGACGCCAACAGCGGTGGCGACGCTAAGAACGCGGAGGGGAGCTGAGACCGAGCGGGGCGGACGGAGGACAGCGCGGCCGGGCTTGTTGTGGGCGGCTCGCTGCTTGATCGCGTTGAATGATCAGCCTAGCCATCCCAGCCAGCGCTCGCCCTGACACTGCTTGGAAGACTTGCGCCCGTGCTTGCAGCCTGCCGCTCCGTATATCAGCCCGCCCCCTCCCAGTCCGCCCCGCCATCGCCTCGATCCCCGCCATGTCTCCCTTTACACACCACGCCCACGCTCACGCACATACCCACTCCTGCCATCTCGCGGATTCATCCACGGATAACACCCACGCCTACTGTCCACCACAGGAAGGCGACAGCCGCTCTCCCTGCCCCGCACTCAACACCCTCGCAAACCACGGCTACCTCCCCCGTGACGGCAAGTGCATCACTCCTCAGGTCCTTATCAACGGCCTCCGCGATGGCTACCACCTCTCCACCCCCCTCGCCTGGTTCCTCACACACGGTGGCTTCTACCTTCTCGGCCAGCGCCGCAAGCGCATCTGTCTGCGCGACCTCTCCCGGCATAACTGCATCGAGCACGATGCGTCTCTCGTCCACCCGGACGTCCACCACCGTGACGAATACGCTCCGGTCGACATGCACCTCCACATGCTCGAAGACCTCATGACCTTCGCAGAGGACGGCGTTGTGATGACTCCCGACGACGTTGCCCGTGCACGCGTATGCCGTGAGGCGTCTTACACCATCCCCCTCGACCCCGTGCACGCGGAGATCGCACGGGGCGAGATGGCGATCGCCCTCCAGCTCTTCAATAACCCCGCACCCGCGCCTGCGCCCCACCCCGACGCCCCAGACGCACGTTCGCTGATGTCCAAGCTCAAGCGTATTGTCCTGCGCAAGACATCGAGCACCAGCTCAAAGGAGCCTCCGCTCCCCGGCGTCCCCATCGACATGCTGCGCGTCTGGATGCACGAGGAGCGGCTCCCCGACGGCTGGCGGCCCTACCACAAAACCGGCCTCATCCACACTATCCGCATGTCCTCCCGCCTCCGCGCCTCGATGAAGGCCCTCGCGAAGGAACAGTACGCCGCTCAGCGCGCTGCCAAGAAAAAGCACGCCCCCGCCGTCGCCATCGCCGTCTCCGCGCCCGCCCCCGCGCTCAAGATCGTCATCGCCGCGGACGACCCGGCCCCGTTCAACATCGACCTTGAGCAGGGCATGGTCGGCGACCAGCCGCTCGCCGACGCGCGCCCTCCACATGCGCGCGAGCTGTCCGGGTCCTCGACGGACTCGAGCGCGCTGGGAACCGCGATGACGCGCGCGAGCACGATGACGGCCGACTCGCCCGGCCCGGCGACGCCGACGGGCGAGAGCGGGTCGCCGGTGTTGGGCACGCTGGAGGAGGACCCGGGCGAGCGCCACAAGGAGCGCTTTGTCGACGTCGTGCTGACCGTCGGGGGGCGGGTGGACCCCGCGGAGGTGTGCGCGGCGGGCGACGGGCAGGTCGTGGAGATCCCGCGGATGGTCGCCGTCGCGAGCTGAGCGGGTTGGGTGGTCCTCCTCACGCTTCCGTATCCTGTATTTGTGATGTGGAGCCCCTTTTTGGTTACTTTACGATCCATGTTGTACCGCATCTCGCCTTGGTTGCAATTGTGTGTGCAGTTAAAATAGTTATGTACAGTAGTAGCGTCGCTTGCACTAATTGCTATTTGATTTGTTTGGTCCATCCTCGGTGCCGTGCAGTGGGGCGGGGCGACGGAGTCCGTATGGTCACTTGAGTGGTGCATGATCGGAGTCGCATGAATTTGAACACGGGGCAAGCGAAGAGATGGCTTGCACACGAACGCGAGCGAAGAGCTGTCTTGGCAGCTAGGCGAGATATGCAGGGCGACTGCAACGTTGCAGAACCAAGAAGATCAGGTGCTCGGCACACGCATGTCTCAGTATGTAACAATGTCCGTGAGGAGAAGTCCTGTTCTGAGGGCATCTCTGTCGGAAACTGTAACAAATTCCGCACTCGTGTACGACTTTCATTGAAGACGAGGGAGACAGATAGTTCAGATTGTCGAGAAGTGGAGAAACTGTAACTGAGTATTATACGAAGGCTACAAGTAGTGGCATACATTACAATCAAATAATTCTAGGAGATATAGCAATGGCCCGATGAGAATACAGTACACTCTACATTGAAACCCGTTCGATGCATCAGGCCACCACCCCTTAGTTGGGCCCGACGACGACCTGTTTCGTCTTGTTGAAGCCCGCAATCGTCTCGTT